ATACATGTGAAATATCATACATAGATAAGATATAAGTCGTAAAGCCATTTTCGAAACGGAATACATAAGTATATAAGTACAAAACCAAGAGCAATATTCAACGCAAGACTCATCACTCTCTCAACAAGGATACGGGAACACATCCCAAAACCACAAAGGATAACCACAACACAAAGGATAAAGACAAGATCGATGACAACACATGCCTAGGCAACACATGCCCTTGTGACTACACACGTCACAAAAAGAGAACTCACAACAACGGCTACACAAGTCCTCGTGACATCATCCATCATGAGTTGATATACCTTCCTTATGCCCGGTTCCAACCTTATGGCTACCCCCAACCTTGTATCTTCTTCCAACCATTACCTCCAGGACCCCTGTACTTCTTAGTCCAACCTTTTCCCTCCTGGGACCGTTGTCCCCCGCCAACAAACCACCAACAAGACCACCAATTTCATAGTACACGAGGGTACCGTACACACACACGGCAACACATGCCACCCAAGAATCACGTGAACCTTACACAAAGGTCACAACTCCATAATCACGTCACGGCCACCACGAGGACCGCTGCAATACCTTGTTGACTAGTGTCCCATACCACTAATCGTGCAATCTAGGTAAAGCCACACACACGTCACACCTCAACAGGAATCAATCAACGGATCACAACGAATATATAAAACCATACACAATCAAGGAATGGATCACAGTCCAACAACAACAACGATGAATAACACAAGTTATCATCAACCAATAGGAAAGTACAAACAACACACACGCTAGTATTTAAACACCAAACTAGCATGCTTATCAAACGGGTAAACCAAAGGTAGTTCCGAAGAACACACAAGACTCATCACGGTTCAACGAAACACAATGTTGAACAAAATAAAAGGTAGGCCCCTACCCGTGGTCCTGCCCGCGGGTACCAACTCCCACAAGCCACGTTCCCACGGGTGGGGCGGCTGGTAGGGCTCTGCCCGCCGGTACATCCCTGTGCCCAAAATAATCCCTTCAGGGATTTTCAACACCAAGCTCAAATTCAAGTCCAAAACATGCCAAATCTCACCAAATACAACAAAATGACTTGAATCAAAGGAAATGCCAAGCAATGGCACAAATGAACCCTAAACACAAGCTCTAGATATGCATTTTCACAAGATCATGCATCAACACTCACATTTCATAGCAAAACACATGTAGAATCCAAGAAATCACATATAGGTAAGCAAAATAGGTTTTGTAGAGCATGGGTTACCTCTTGTAGACTAAAGACTTCACTTTACACCTCAACAAGCTCCTCTCAATGCTCACCTTCCAAACCCACTTCAAGAACATACCAAAAGATCATAAAGATCCCATCTTTAAGAAAAGACACCTTAGATAAAACCAAAAACACAAGATGAACTTAGATCTTACCCTCCTAGATGCCCAAATATATGAAAGGTTGAATCTTGGAAGCAACTCTTGAAGTTTTGGCAAGGCTTCAACTTGGCTGGGAAGAAAAGCTACTCACCTTTTTAGAGATAAGGTGGAGCTAGATTTTTAGAAAAGTGTAAGGAGAGAATGAAGGTGGTCTACTAGGTTAGGTTACAATACCAACAACAAGTGAAAGGTCAAGAATACCCTTACTAACATAAGGAAGTGTAAGGAACAAGGGAACTCCTTACAAAGCTCAATGTACAACTTTGACTTTGGGGTTGACTAGTCAATTACTAGTCCCCAACTATTAAATTTCAGGAATTTTAGAAATTAAATTACAAATTGAAATAGGATTAATTACTCAATTAATCCCTTAATTGAATTTGGATTTCGGGGTGTCACAGTAATGTATCCACAATATTAAATAAATTATACTTGTCTTAAAAATCATTTTTTTAATGTTACTAACTCTATTACATTGTATTAATATAAATTTACAATAATCATTTATTAATATAAATTTACAATTATAAATTTGTATAAGGAAAACATACAAACTTCTAGTAAAAAAAAAAAAAAAAAAATCTCTCCATTTCATTTTTCTCTTTCCTCACCCTCACATTCCCACTCTCTTTAGAAAAAGGCAAAGTAGGATGAGAAATGGCCTCTATCTACAACGTCTTCACCCCTCAATTCGATTTAGCTTTTGCTTGATTGTTGTTTTGCCCAACGAACCACGTAAACCCTTAACGCTGCTTGTTAAAAAAAAAAAACATAGAAACTTGAATATAATGACATGTACAAATCTCGAAGTCAACATACTAACTATAAGTTTCATAAAATCTTACAAAATTATCAAAATCACCGTCGTTATCATCCTCGATCGCATCTATCTCTACGCTCTTCCATAAAAACTAAAACATTAGGGTTCTGTTACCAAGCCTCCTCCTCCTCAATATCTTTTTGTTGAAACTCATTCACATTAGGCTAGAGGTCCTGCTTTTTAATGGTAACCACAACACAAAAAATCACAATAAATTGATGAAAACAACCAATCCAACATCCAGAATGCAACACTTTGATCTCATGGTATTTAAAGAAAAAATGTGAAAATCAAATAACATATACCCCAAATATACATACATTTATACCAGTAACTGAACATACATTTGGATCGGACACACTGTAACTAACAACATATCCTAATATACAAACCCTAACAAATCGAAATAAAGATGAAATCATGAACATAGTTTACACCTATCGGAATCATGATATTACCTTGAAATGAACTATGAGATCTGAGCCCCTAGCTTTGCAGACTGCATTCAGAAACAACCATATAAAACTTAGAAATCAAATGAAATCATGAACCGGTGAATAATATAGAGTGCAAATGAAAGTATAATTTGTATTTATAGGTGGAAAATACTAATTCAAAAGGAAAGTATAACAATTTGTAATTAAGGTAATAACATCATCATCATCATTATTATTATTATTATTATTATTATTATTATTATTATTATTATTATTATTAAATAATATTACAGAAATGCCCCTAAGTTTTGGGGGGAAAACTTGGCTAGGAGGATTTTACTTATATATATATATATATATATATATATATATATATATATATATATATATATATATATATATATATATATATATATATAGATTAATAATATACATTCAGTACAAAAATAAAGTACTTGTAGTATATTAAAAATGTATTTTGTATTCTTGGTTCACACAACTACATGGACCATGGTCTACACAATAATTTGCCGTTAGGTGTCAAAATGGCCTCAGCCCAGCCACATAGTGAAAAGCCCACTTTGAAATCTAAATTGGGTCATTTTGAAGATCTAGGTGCAAATTATATCGTGCACCACGGTGCATGATCGATTATGCACCGTGCATCAAAATGATGTTGTTTTGTTTAATGAAAAGAAACGGCATCCATTTCCCGTCATTCCGTACCCTTCCGCAAAAAGTAACCCTGTTATTTAGTTTTATTTTGTATACACTGCAGTGTCAGATCAACACAACTACAGTTTCACTTCAATATAACTACAGTTGCATTCGATATTTATAGACTCAAATATGTGAAAATGTTATTTAAATTTATTTTATATACACTATATTTTTATTAAAACACAACTACATGACTATTTTGATATAATTACAACTTTATTGTACAATATACACTCAAATATGTGAAATGTTATTCAGTTTCATTTTATATACACTGCAGTTTCACTTCACCACAACTACAGTATCATTTTGATATAACTGCAGTTTCATTTATCGTGAGGCAGTGTCGGTTTAGATATACTGTAGTGTCAATTGGTGTTTAATACACTAAATATGCGGACTCCGTTAACGGTAACGGCGGACTGTTTCTTTACTTAAAGAAACGGCGCTATTTTTTACCGTGGTGCATGTGCACCGTGGTTTACAATATATCGACTGTCTAGGATTCCTATATAAAAGGAAACCTTAGTGGTTTGAGGTAACCAATTTGGTTGAAATATATTCCACTATTGATGAGTGTATATTAACCAACTAGCAAATTATCCGTGCAATGTATGGATAATTCTTTTTATTATATATTTAGATTTAGATTTAGATTTATATAATAAAATTATAAACAATTCTAATATTTGAAAGTGTACATTTATTTGATTATAAAATTATTGTAAAAGTATCACTCAATTAATTGAATAATATATCACTTGTTTGTCGGTATTTATCTTGAAAAAATTGATATGTAATATGAATAATTTGTTGACTATTATGCTAGATATTGGCAAACCTCAGCCGATCGTTCAAGAGCTCCTTGAATGGAATATAAAGAGAGGATTTCTAAATATGTTGTCCTATGTTGTCTTATACTGTCTTATAGAAATAGATTACAGAGCCCTATAAATAGGTTATCTGTTATGTTATCTTATACTATCTAAAATTTAAAATGTGAACCAATGCTATCATGTGAATGAAGAAGTTTCAAAAATACGATTATATATATATGTTTAGTTTAAAATGTGAATCAATGCTATCATGTGAATATGTGTACTATTATGCATGTTGATCTTGTGGTTTATAATGATTTTGATTTAGTAAATATACAACAATGCACCACATCAGTGCACAATTGCACAACTGTGCACCATTACACCACTTCTGCCGTCCAATCTCACATCTTAACAGTGAGTGGAGGTTTACATGTTCTTGTTCACATAATAGTAATGATTCACATCTGAAACGGACCATATATATATATATATATATATATATATATATATATATATATATATATATATATATCAATCATTGTCTCTTATATTCGGTACCATCACAAAGTGAATAGAGAAGTGTTTGAGTTTGTATCCGTACAATGGTGTTATTATCATCCTAGTATTCGGTACAAACCTATATAGTCTTTTTCATTTAATTTTTGACTTGTACATGGTATAAGAGTCACTAGTATTGATGAGCACCACAAGCACTTTTCCATTTATATATTAAACATATTTTTTTTGAATAAAAGGGGGATAGAAGTTGTCTGCCACTTACTCCTCTTTCCCATTAGACAACATATATATTATTAATTATTATTTAAAAAAAAAAAAAAAAAACCTAAGCTAGCAGAAAGGAGGCTACAGTGCAAACACCTTAAATTGTCCAGATTTGTTTGCTATAAATTAAAGGAGAGAGAAGCTGAGTGGATGGGGAAGGCTGAGTTGAAGATTTAATATTTCCATTGGGCCAATGCTCTTAGAAGTGGAGGAAGTTTTTCTCTTTCAAACTTTCAACAGTGTCCCTAAGACTCACTTCCAAAGAGGTCAAGGTGATGCCCAACTGCTTTGCCTTTTCTTGTGATACTTGGTAGCTTGGTGATATAAGCAAATCTTCTTTATATCTATCACCAATATAATAAAACAAAAAATCAATAATTTTGTTTTTTGTTATTTGTAGTTATCCTTTTCTTACATAATTAAGAACATGATATATATATATATATATATATATATATATATATATATATATATATATATATATATATATATATATATATATATATATATATAATCTCCTAATTAATATGAAAACCTAGCTTACTTGTCAGGAAGGGCAAGAGAAGGGTAAAGCTTGCCTATAATCTTCAAAGCCTTGGAAGAGTGTACTGTTACTCCAACCAAACAATATCTTCCACTTGCGGAAGGTAGCTCAAATGCATGTATATGAGCATTTGCAACATCTCTAACATCAATAAATCTATAGTTTCCGGCTGGTGAAAATTCCACTCCTGTGTAAGATGATCACATTCATCATATCACTTCCATTCGAGGCTAATTATAATAATGCTTAAAATTGATCCGAGCGAAGTAAATTTACCTTCTTTTATAAGGTCGAGAATCAACTGATTAATTAAACTAAGACTCGGTTGTAACATAGGGCCAATTACCCAACAAGGGTGCAATGTGACCATGTCAATCCCTTTCTCGTTTGCATATTTCCATGCAACTTCCTCAGCAAGGATTTTGGACAAGATATACCATTGCTATGAAGATTAAAAACTCATCACATTAATTAATAATTACTACAAAAGTGTTTTGTTTTAATTACTCTAACTATATATTGAACATATATACACATGCATGTGCACCTTGTTTTCCTCTACAAATTCTTTATCTGAAAACCAAGTCTCATCAACCACATCATCTGGACGTACTGGATTTTCTTTGATCAAAATTGAAGCTGTTGAGGATGTTACCACTACCCTTTTTATAGAAGGTGTTCTCACACATGAACCAAGAACATTTAGTGTCCCCTTTACTGCAGGATCCACTAGTTCTGCCTAAAATATGAGAAAAAAATTAAGTATATTAAGGCCGTGTTTTGTAAAATAGTTAGTCTATCAGTCAATTTTGATTGTTTGACCACTATTAGCTATTTGCTGACTTGGTTAAACAACCAATATGAATGTTTGATTAAGTAGTCTGTAATTGTTACAAAAAGCTAATTAATCAAACACTCATATTGATTGTTTAATTAACCAAGTCAAACAACTAATAGTGGTCAAATAAGTCAAAATTGACTGATAAGCTAACTATGTTACCAAACAGGTCATAGTAAAATGGATAGAGATAAAAACTTGGAAATAGAGGTTTGATGGCCTTCAACAAAGATTAACACAAAGATCAGAAAGACAGATCTATAACATTATAAGAAAAACTAGGTTGAAGGTTGACCTTAGTAGCCAATGGTGAAAATGTAACAGGTGATGCTGTGTGAAAAACACCAACACAACCCTTCATTGCAGGATCAAAAGATTTTTCTTCAAGTAAGTCAGCTTCAAACAAATGCAGCCTCTCATTTGACCCATCAAATGCAAGAAGATGTGACACCTGATTTGGATCTCCTGCAATAGTATTATAATAATATATAGGTAGATCCATTTAAGATGCTACCAAATTCAAAGAAACATGGAATTGTATATTTTTTTTTTAAACAGTTATTGAGGAACTAAAATTGCAACTTCGTGCATAACTTAGGAGTTAAAGATGATCATGCATATAATTTAGAGACTAAGTTCATATAGTAAATATAAATCAAAAATAAAATTTTTCCACTATGAACCATAACAAAACGTACATTATACAAAATAATATTTTTTAACTCTAAATAGAATAGAGATTTGACCTTATGACCTCCTTGGTGGGAGAACCATAGCTATGCCAACATGCCGCTTCACCACATGACTTATTTATTCATTTAAAAAATAAAACCCTGATTTCCAACTGCAAATTATGGTTGCCTCTTCTTCCTTCCATCCAACTCTTCTTTAATTTATTTTCTTTCCATCCAACTCTTATTTATTCATATGTAGGTATGCCCTCAAGGCTAATATGCCAATTATCAATGTCATTCCTGAATTATTAGTGGTGTAAGTGTTGACCCTTCAATTTTTAAAACGTGACATATATTGCCATTCCCTTAAATTATTAGTAGTGTAAATGTGGTTAAAACCCGTCGTTTTTTCTGTTCAAAGACCATATTTTTTCCTTTATTTTTCTTTCTTCGTTTGTTTTCCTTCCACCACCAACAACAATGTTTCTCCTTCGATCTTCCTATTAGGGGAGGGACAATATATAGCATCATTGATAATTTGTATATTTGTGAGGAGTAAAAATTACCATTTTCACTTTATATATGTTTAACTTAAACATATTGTCAATAAATCTTAACTATAATATAGCCATATAGTTTGGTGAGCAATTATTATTACAATTATTATTTTGATGAGCAATTATTGTTACAATTATGATCTCTATCCTTATTCTTATTATTATTATTATTATTATTATTATTATTATTATTATTATTATTATTATTATTATTGTATTCTTTAATTTTTTGGATCTTCTATATTATTATTTAGAAAATGGTGATGATGATTAATAGTCATTTATATTTATAAATAATTGTTTGGTCTTTAAAGGACAATTGTATGTTGTTACATCTAGAGTTAGAAATCTCAAAGGTCTAAAATTTTTTATCCGTGGTGACTCTGAAAATTGTAATTCAACTATTATTGTAGTTTACTAAGTTATTAAAAATTTATAATATTAAATACTATGTACTAAATTTTTAATATAGTTTAAGATTTATAGTAATCACCCACCTTAAATATCAATTCTTATTTTAATTGTAAATATATTTATGTTCATAATTTTATCATAGCAATTCACACATAATTATTAAATAACAAAATTTTTATATATGAATAAATCTCATATAGGGTATATTTTTATAACATATTTCTCATGCATCGGGACAAATACTAGTTAAATTAAATAGAAGTAGAGAAAGAGAGAGGGGGACTGACTGAGGTTGAGAACGGTGGCGTGGACGGTGTAACCGCGGTGGAGCAACAGCTTGACGAGCCAAGAAGCTATGAAGCCGGAGCCACCAGTCACGCATACGGCTTTCCCCTCTCCGCTCATTTTCACTTCCAAATTCCGATGGCCGCCGGCCGGTCTTTCAGCTTAACTATATGCAGTGATAAGAAATTTATTACTGGATGCAATTCAAGGCTCCACTTCTGATCCTGCAGGTGTGCGTGCTGCACTGCTACCACAACCATTCTATATATCTTTTATTTTTTGGGTTAAACACGTTTTGAATTCATTTTGATATAACAATTTAACAATATTTGACACGTGATAAAGACATAAAGTAGTTCAATTTGGAATGACATTAATCATTTGGCTTTTTGTTTATCGGTCTCCTGCAAAAGGCGAGATTCCCTCTCCGCGATATAATAGTGGAAGAGCTCAAGGTCGATTTTTAGGGGGTGTATTCAATCATGACTTTTGTAGAGTTTTAAAGACTTTTAAAATGATAGATTTTAATAAACTTCGATTCACTTTCATAGAGTCGTTCAAAACTTTTAAAAACTTTATAAGACTCAATAAAAGTCTATATAAAAATCATTCATAGACTTTTATTAACTTTTTATTTTAAAAAGTTTACAAAAGTCATTGAAATTCTAAATTAAATACACCCTTACAAACTTTCAATGATTTTGATTCTTATCATTTATAATTTTCTTACAAAACATTTATAATATATTATAAATTTTTTCTTATTATATAGTTCTCCACTCTCATCAGCATTCTCAACATTATTATTTTTATTCATAGTATGTTGAGACTTATATGCTAATTACTTTTATATATATATATATATATATATATATATATATATATATATATATATATATATATATATATATATTATTAATAAACATCAACAAAAAATTATTTCATTAGAACTTCATAACAATATTGAACAATAAAATTTATAATAAAAGAATTGATCAAATAAAGTATTTAAAAATATAATTACAAGTTGCAAAAAATAAATAAATAAATAAGAATCTAATATATATATATATATATATATATATATATATATATATATATATATATATATATAATTATAATTATACTTTTATTGCTAAACATCACGCAAAGAAATATTATTTGCAATAGCAATTTGAGACTATAAATAACAACAAGGTGCTACTGTTTGCAACCCCAAATTGTTATTGCGAACAGTAGTTCGCTATTCTTAGTAACATGTTGTTAAATATATATATATATATATATATATATATATATATATATATATATATATATATATATATATATATTACGAATATAAATATAAAAAGAATAAATATCAAAATATATAAGTATTTGTATGAATATTATGAAACATATACTAAAATTTGAGGATGAAAATTTTACTTTGTTCATGTATTTAGGGAGAATTAGAGAAAGTTAGGAATAAAAAATTTATAGAAATAATGAAAATCAATATAAACAAGCAATAATGAAATAAAAATAATATTATTTCGAATTTTTAGATGAAGATGGTAAAGTGTAGGAGAGAGAGAGAGAGAGAGAGAGAGAGAGAGAGAGAGAGAGAGAGAGAGAGAAAATTTGGTAGAGTTTAGGTATGAGGAAAATGTAGGATAATGAAGAAAAAAAATAATTTTATTGAATTTAAATAGGTTTATAAAGTTTAAAGTGGAGAAAAATAGAGTTTAAATAGAGAGAGAAAACATTCAAAGTTGTTAGAAAGAAAATTTTGAAATCTTGAGATAGATGGTTGGATTTCAACTATTTATATTTGAGAAGGAAAAGTCTACAAAAGTCTTACAATTAAAAAGTCTACAAAAGTTCATAACTTTTTGAATACCACATGACTTTTAAAGACTCTTTAAAAGTCTTAATCGAATACCACACAACTTTTAAAGACTCTTTAAAAATCTTGATTGAATACTGCCTGACTTTCAAAGACTCTCTAAAAGTTTGAATTGAATACCTCCAAACTTTTAAAGTTCATAAAAGTCTTTAAAACTCTACAAAACTCATGATTGAATACACCCCCCTTAGATTTTTGTGTCTCATTCTTATAAATAAATGAGGTCCTATCAAAAGTGCAATCTTTAAAACTAATATCATAATTTTTTCTAATAATAATAATAATAATAATAATAATAATAATAATAATAATAATAATAATAATGTTGTACGCAAAGAATAAAAAGAAAAGGCAAAAGAATAAAAAAAATGAAAAATGTGCACAAAGTTGGAGCAAATAAGGTTCGAACCTTCAACCTCTAAAATAAAACACTATAGCAACACATTTCTATCACTTCTCCATAAAGTCTTTTAAAACTAATTGTAATTTTATTTTATTTTAATGTCTTAACTAGTTAGGTAAAAATTAAATATTGGACCCTCTAAAATTTGAGGCCCTGTGCTATTGCACAACATGCACATTCCAAAATCCGGCCTTGAAAGAGCTCAATCTTGTGTTATTGTCAACAATCTACTATCCAAAAGCCAATTGAGTTGCATGTGCAAGAGACTTTGTTTATCCTTGCAATGCTGTTTTGCTTTCAAAAATAGATCATATTATTGTATAAATTTATAGTAACAAAATTGTTCAAATAAAATATTTTAAAAATTTACAATTTAATATTAATATTTCCATAACCAAAATTTTCTTTATTAATACTATAGAGGAAGCATTAATAACCAAAAGGAAATGGGGGTGTTACAGCAACCCCGTACAATCCTATTGAATCATTATATTTTTCAATGGTTGCATTGTACGCATATTGCTCTCGTTTTGCCAGGCCAACTCCTCAATAGTTTTCTTTGGCCAACGCAACTCAGCTTCTTCCATCCTTTGTCCTATTGTTCGCCTGTTGGCAAACATTATTCTTATCTTATGAAAAGTGTGAGCCTCGCAATCGCAATCACTGGTAGCATATGACAATCCTTAAGAGAATTACTAAAAGATTTTGATGCTTTTCATTCTGCACTAGAACTCCCTTTGTGTGATTGTAGTACCGGCTTCCCAAATTAAGGCTTTCAATCTCTTATTCTTGTACCTGGTCATCACATTATTGTGAATGCATCTAAGACAATATCGGCGGTGGACGCGTGGGCTATGCAATATAGGCAAATCCCTAAACGCCGCATCGACTCTAAAATGCCTATCCGAAATGATGCATATCGACTCATGATCGGGAAAGACATGTGTTGCAAGTAGTCTCATAAATCAAGTCCAGCTGGCTGCATTTTCGGAGTCAATAATCGAGTATGCCAGTGGAAAGATTTCCTTATTACTGTTCACTCCGACAGCTAAAAGGAGATGGTTGATAGTCATAGTATACGTGGGATTGAAATGAAGATGTGAGGAAGATGAAACTTCCCCAGGATGTCGTTCTCTAAGGATGGCGAACGGGAATTGGACAATGCACAGCTAAGCACAAGTGCGTAAGACTCGCAGAAAGCTAGGTCATCGAAGACGTAAAACAAAGAGCATTATCAATGTAATGAGAGAAAGAAAAGCAACACGTAAATGTAAAGAAGTAAATGAATGGTGGGGAGTAGGACTAGGTGTTTCTTAGGTTGATGCAATAGAATGACCCTAAGTATAAGAAGTAGTGTAATGCATTGATCATGATTATTGATAGATGTTTCCATTACCAAGACACTTTCGTGGTCTATTTGGCCTATCAAGTAGTAAAATTCTACTCTCATAGAAACCTTACTACATGAGACATTGCATCACTCTCATAGAAACCTTACTACATGAGACATTTCATCGAACATTTAGAGTCCATATCTTCTTCTTAGCTCTACCTCTCGGTGCAAGGTGGGAAATGTAAGTGGATTAGGCTATACTGTAACACACCTCCAAGACCTATTGCGTGATGTGACCATCACCATACAAAAGTCTATACAAATTAAAGTCCACTTCCAACAAGAATCAAGTCAATACATCAAGTCACTTCCTAATTACAATCAAAACATTCTAGCATCCTAACAAGTAAATTGCAATTGAAATGAACACTTTACTTTGATTATAAAAATAGGAAGATCAAATATAAAATTAAAGATTAAAAAACAATTACAAGTTAAATTCTTCCTCTAGATCTTCAATAATGTTAATAAATCCATATAAACCATCCACTTTAAGTGGATATATTCCGATTGGATGGGAGTAGACTTATAAATTTGACTGATAAGTGGATTTGGTAGATCCTTGCTCATTCATAATTTTGGGATAATATCCCAGCGGAATATCTTAAGTGGGAAACATGAAACATGTTTGCCGTTTTGTTGGAAGGCTCCTATTCATTTGAAAGAATCATCCAATTTCGTAAAACTATCTTTCTTTTGAACGAATCATTTTTGACCAATGAAATTCATAAAATAAAACATCTAAAGAGGTTACTTGTTCTTAAAAAGATTATGCTTATATCATTAGGACTCTATCATCATTAGTATTCGTTACCTATTATTATTAGTATTCGTCTTGTAATAGGTTTACTATTCACTACTATATATACTCTTGTACAGACTCATTATTGATTATTCAGATATATCGTATCCTCATCTGGTATCAGCAGGTTTCTCTCTCCTCTCTCTAATGGCGCACCTCGGATCTGATGGCGGCTCTGTTGGTAGTTCTGAACGGACCGTTTCCGAGGCCGCGCTTGTTGCACCACTGCAGTCGGGGGTGTCTTTCTCTTTGGCGCATCACTTCGTCTCCATCAAGTTGACATCCCGCAATTTTTTGTTTTGGCATACTCAGCTTCTTCCGTTCCTGGATGGCCAAGGGTTGTTGGGTTTTGTCGATGGTACTTCGGTATGTCCGCCGATCACCGCGCTTGCCGTACCGCCTGCCGAGGGAGCCGTTCCTACCGTGCCTTCGTCGGCTTCGTCTTCCGCTGCTCGGAGTGCATGGCTCCGTCAAGATAAGGTCGTGCTCTCCTTATTAATCTCATCCTTGTCCGATGAGATGATGCACCTCGCAATTGGTAAGTCCACTTCTCGGCATTTGTGGTTGGCAATCGAACAGGTTCTTGGTTCGACTACACGGGCTCGTGCCCTCCGGTTGGTGGGCGAGTTGCAAGGATTGCGGCAGGGGGATGCTTCGATCCCGGATTATCTTGGCCGTGCGCAGGTGCTTATCGAGGATTTAGCGCTTGTCGGCCGTCCGGTGACGCTAGAGGATCAGAATATGTATATATTTCGAG